TGTTGAGCCCTTGGAAATTTTGGTTCCTGAGATGAGGTCTAGTGATGAAGAAGATCAAGATAATGTTGCTCTGGATGCTTTTATTGTCAAGAGAAGGGCAGTAACCACTCCTGAGTCTTCTACTAAGCGACCTACTACTAGGTTACAAGCAAAAGAGGCTTATGAGTCTGCCCTACAAAAGAGCAAAAGGAGCAGTAAGAAGAAAAAGAAGAGGTTGGCGAAAAATGGAGAAGTGGTATGTGACAAGGACATTCCTGTGGTGGAAGTTGATGAGAAAGCAACAGAGGAACCCGGTTCCTTGGTTAAAAGGTCCCAGAAGAAGAAGCAATATGCTTCAGAGGAAGGTGTTGCTACGCCTAGTTCAAGATCAGCAAAAAGTGGTGGAAAGTCAAAAGACGTTGTGTTGGACAAGTCAAGTGGAAAAGGTAAATCGAGTGTGAAGTCTGGAAAGAGGAAGTTGGAAACTGTGAGGCAACCTGATTCTGCAAAGAGAGTGAAGAGTGAGAGTATGTCTGCTAAAAAATGACTAAGGAACCAAAAGGTCTTGTGGGGTCGCACTTTTGACCCAACAATCTCTAAGATGCCCGGAATGAGAAAAATAATTGAGATGGTCGAGTTTCAATAGTGGGGGCATCTTTACAAAGTAGATGTGCCCAAGGTCTATGAGAATGAGGTCCAAAGCTTCTGTACCGACCTTTTTCCTGGTGACACTGACCATATCTGTGCCTTGGTTAATGGAGTGGATATTGTGTTGGATGCTACCTTGCTTGGGGACATTCTTAAGGTCCCTGCTGATGGTAAGCCTTCTGTGAAGAATGTCTGTGGGTCAAATTTCAGAAATGTTATTGTGAAGGAAGGTGCAGCCCAGCAGGGGGAACAGGTTCACAAGAAAGCGTTGCTTCCCGTTTATCAGTTATTATTCGAGCTGGTGAACAAGGTTCTTCTACCCCGTGCTGAGAGAAGGTCCATTACTTCTAAATCTGACTTGTATCTGATAGAAGCACTGGATGGGTTTAAAGCTGTAAACTTGCCTGCCATCATGATTGAGCACATGCAGAAGGTGGCGACTTTCAAGGATGGAAACCATGGTCTTCCATATGGGTTTCTTCTCACGCATGTCTTTAAGTTCTTCAAAGTGCCATTGGGACAGTCCAAAGTAGGGACCAAGAAGCAGACTTCACTCAAACAACTTTGGAGGAATGTGAGTGTATCGAAAAGAATGGAGGGGTAGGTAGCACTTCGACAATCTCTCAGCTCATCAATGCTCAAAACAGTGCAACTGAGGAGATACGAAAGCTGAAGGCAAGGAACGCCATACTAGAGGGTCAGCAGGCCCAAGGGGGTCCCGGGTCAAATGAGGAGATAGCTCGTCTGAACAAATAAAATGCTGATCTCAAGGCACAAGTGGAGAACCTGAATGAGAAACTGCTCACCGAGCAAATATCGGCGAATGCCCAAATAGATCTAGTTCTCAACACCCTTGCTGCAGCCTCCAAGCCCGCTCCTCCTAGTGTCCCTTAGGCAACCCTTTAGTGACTTTCTAGATTATTCTGTTCTTGTTTTGTTGACTTTGGCAATTGTTTTTTTGTTTCTTTTTGTGGTGTGAATGGGATGTACTTGTACTGCTCCCGAATCAGTCCAATTTATGCCTTTGCTGTATAGCAAAGGCATATATTTTATAAAAATTATCCTCTTTTTGCTGTTTAATGCTTGTGTTTCTCTGTTTCTCTTTTCTATCATGTTGTGTGCACATATGTGGCATAAGTTAGCTCGGTTAGACTTCTATATGCTGAATGCCTGCTTGTGTATTTTTAGTGATGCCAAAAGGGTGAAGTATAAAGTCAGAGGGGGTATAAAGTCGGGGAACTTGTGAAGTTCCTGTTACTTCATGTGTATAATTGGAAAAACATGGATCGTGTTTAAGGGGGAAGTATAAAGTCAGGGGGAACTTGTGAAGTTCCTGTTACTTCATCTGGTTATTGCTCTAAACATGTGTTATCAATTCTAAGTTTGTCATCATCAAAAAGGGGAAAATTGATAGGTTTACAATGCCTTAGCTTTATGTGTCGATGATCTAACAAACTTACTGTCAAAGAACCAGATAAGGAACTTGACTCACTTGGTACACAACTCAAATCAACTGATTCCAGCTAATGAGAACTGCTTCGATTTCAGAAGATAGAGAATCAGCACAGGGACCTGATACCCTTGTGTTTCCCTGACAGCTGTACGAAGTCAACTGTCTACAGCTGGAAAGTGACTGCCTGCACTGTACACAGAATAGTGCAGCACAGTTCTGCAGTCACTTTTCTTTTGGCCTACCAAGTGATTACATCATTCAAGTGATGTCATCCATGTTGCATTAACATAAAACATTACAACAAAACATCACTTGGACCGTTGAGAATCAACTTGAGCATTCAAGCACACCAGTCGTTCACTGATCAAGCATTCAATTCTCAAGTGCATCAAGAACAAAGAACAACACTGCTACGGACCAATTCCAAGAGCTAGCATCGTATATGTCCTTAGTTGAGTTGTAACTTTGTAATTGTTCTTCATTGTAATTCCTACTTTGCTTATCGAGAAGCGTGCTTAGGAACCCCTTGTAAAACCATAAACCCTTAGTGTTTGTGTCGTGACTAGAGATAGTCATGAGTTGAAGTCTTTGTAATAGGTGTATTGCAGAGTGGCTTGTAATAGGTGTATTACAAGTTAGCGAGGGATTAAGAGTTTAATTCCTAGATTGCATAGGTTGTAATCTAAAGTTGCTCATAGTGAAGTTGAAATCCTACCAGTGTAGGTCGTGGTTTTTTTTTATCCCCTTGAGTAGGGATTTTTCCACGTAAAAACTCCCTGTCTTATTTACTTACTGTTTTATTAGCATTCTCAGTAGAAACTCATAGAGGACATGGTCTCTATATAGTTTGGACGACTCATATATTCTATCAGTATTGAATATGTTTCCTTTCATATAACTTAGATTTATCTTTTTGAATATTTAATCTTCTATAAACTTTATTCTTGAGTCTTAGCTTGGTTAATATCTTTCCACTCGTGTAATTTATATTTTCTTTGTCTTTGCTTGGTTTCTTTTACGTTGTTGTAGAATAGTTGATGGATCTATACTCTAGCCATCTTTCATTTGTTTTAATTCATCACCCTTTAAACATTAAAAATGTCTAGAGAGTTTCGCTAAGTCCTATAAAAGAACATATGTTATTGCATTTTACTTCTACTGATGAATTTTACATGATATTTACAAAAAATACCGAAAATTAACTGAACTGTACCGATACCGAAGAGAAACCGACATAATTGAGACGGTTTCGGAAAGTCTAATTTTGGTTAGACATAATAGAATAACCGAAAAATTGGTATGATACAAATTTTATAAAATAACCGGCCGAACCGAACCATTGACACCCCTAGTTAAAAAGAAGGCCGCGAATTACTGACCTCCAATCCAGAACTATATTTTGGGTTGGGGGGGGGGGGGATCTCTTAGTGGGGGTAAGAAAAAGTTTACACACATCAATTATGAAAGAGCAAATTTTAATTCAAGTAAGATAATTCATTTGTAAGAGGGAACAAATATATTATACATCTCTTTGTGTGTTGAGATACAAGTACATTAGCCTAAAAAACTAAGCAACCCCATCTAGCCTCTGGTTAATCTTGGTAAGAGAATGGATCTAATCTGATCCAATTCAAAATTCTCATCAAATGCTCTCATTATGGAAATCAGGCCCCTTTCCACCATTAGATCATGTGGCATTGTGATTTCAGTAGTCCTGACAGATGAGTCTGTGCTTTGTTTCATCCGTTCACAAATTGCAAAGCGACAAACAGGACACGAGCCATGGCTCGTCACCCATGGAACAATACAATCTTCATGGAACATGTGACTGCATGGAGTTACTGTCACCATTTCTTTAGGCACAAAATCTTCCAAGCAAATGGCACATCTTTTACCATCTTCGTCGTTGTCCTTTTTCGATTCATTGGTAGTATTATTCATGTTATTTTTCAAACCTCTAAAATAAAGGCTTACTTGTCTTGCAACTTTTGTTTGTACAGGATTGTAGATTTCTTTCTTGAGCTTATTCAAGGCAGACTTTTGCTCATCTGAGCTCAATTTGGATTCATCCCGGTTTTGTGGCTGGTTCTGCAGAAACCAAGGAGGAGGAGATTCAAATGGAGGTTGGCTTGGCCTAGGATATGGTGCATGTCTTGGAATGTCATCGTCGTGGACTAGAACTCGGACAGGAGGATGAGATGGTCTACGTCGTGGTTGACCTGGATATGGATAACTGCAAGTGGTTCTTGAAATGAATCTTGGATTTTAATCTGGAAAAAGGATAGAAGAAAATGTTTACCTGGTTGCACCATGAGGTACTGGAATTGGTCTCTCTGTTACAGGCAACCATGGATCATGAACGACACGTCTATAATTCTACGAAACATAAAACACTTCAAATCAAATCAAGTATAGGAGCTCTTTCTGGTGTAAATATATATAAAAGCGGATTCATGATTTAAACTTAATAGCTTCAACCTTAAGGTTCTTAACAGTAAACTCTAGCTTTTGAAAACATGTATTCACATTTTAAAAATGGTTCAAATTTTGGTGTTTAATGACATGTATATCTATGTTCAGCGTCGAAAATAGTGGCATCAACCTCTGGTCATGTATAGGAGGAGGAGAGACTTACGTGAGGGATATTTCGGGGAGGTGTAGGATGAGGGAAAATGGGTTGCCATGTGTTCCTGTTGCTGTGCTCAGGTTCATGTGAAGTAGAATCATGCCACTGTTCAGGACTCCAATTCTCATTTGGTGTTAAATTATAAGGTCTATAGCTGCTCATGTTTAAAGATTTTCCTCTTGATCACCAATTCTCTGTGCCCTCTCCTTTTGTGTTGTTTTCTTCTTTAGTTTTGGGAGCAAGGGGGAGGGAATAAGAAACTATAGCTTAGGAAGCTCCAAATTTGGGCAAATAAATGGCACATATACTTGATCCACGTTAGCTTGTTTCTCTCGAGTTACTGTACGATGAGGTGAAATGTGATTCTTTTTCTCAATCAAAAGGTGCTTCTTTGCGGTGTGTGGTGTATGGAATAAAAGACCAATTAAAGTACTCCAGTAGACAAGTAAAGAATCCAGTTCTTTGCTGCTAGTTGGTGTTGGTGCCTTTGGTTCTGAATGTAGATTCTCTTCATAATTTAACTTAGTGTCAGTGACTTTTCAAAGCAGCAAAATCAACGGACGGATCCACGGAAACTAGACTAGGCGGGACGACCAACGTAAGAATAATAAGATTGTGCTGAATCCTCCTAATATTGATGTACAGAGTAGAATGGTCATAGAGGATTCATATAGCCGAGCTCAACTAGTTTAAGATTTTGACGTAATTGATAGATATGATGCTATTCATAATCGGAGATAATTGGCACAATGTGCAGGTGTGTATGACTTGAGATTATGCATATCAAAGATATGATAACACTCTCCACGAACAGAGATGTTCAACACTCCCATGTTATATAATCCTCAACCAACATTGCTGAGGATCTATCGGACTACCCCACAGGGTAGAAATCTGCATACACATTACCCTCCCCATACCTCACTTGTGAGATTATACTGGGTTGTTGTTGTTGTTGTAACATTGCACATTTCAGAAAGCGAAGTTTTATTAACACTTTCCACTTAAGATAGTTGGCATTCTAAAAGGGAGTTCCTCAATCCTCAAGCTGTCCATTACAGAGAAATTTGATATGATGACTTCCTATATGGAAGTGCAGCAGCACTTGCTTTCAAATTGTATACTACAAAAACTTCCTTTTGCATGTATGTCATCTGGCTCGAGCCAACACCCAACGGGGAAAAGAAGGCCAAGAACCAAAGAAAGAAAGTAAATTAATGAAATTATTTGGTCAAAATAGCCAATCAAATGCCTTCCGTGATAGTACTGGAGTCATAAATGGAAGAAAGCTCCACTCCTGGAGCACTTATAGCAATGGCGAAACAAATTCTCTAACATTTTGTATGTGTAACGAGGTGCCAGCTGAGCCACTGTGGAACGCAAGTGCAAATCACATTTGGAAAATCAGAAAGGTTTCAACTATTGCCTCCAGACACCATTTTTGTCTTGACAGACAGACTGTTATATCAAGTGCGCATCCTAAAATTACCAAATTAAAATTAGTATAAGACATGACATGTATTAATCTCAAATATGGGCTAGGCTAGCACTAACCTGCTTTCCCCTGTGAATCACTTCAACGAACAGTTACTTGCTCATAGTTGCTGACAACCAAAAATTCCAGAATATAGAAGCCATCGACATGAAAGCAACACGAGCTTGAAGAGGAATCACCCTATGATTTTTCAACACAGAAGTTTTCATATTTCATTATACTAAAGGCTATTCAGTTACTAGTCCAACCACATATTTCATGCTAAGAGCAGGGAAATTACTAGTATAACCACATAATTCAACCTGAACGAACGGAAATTAACAATAGCAGGTTTCAGAGGCAAATAGATGAAAAGAGAGAAACACGTGATTGCATATGCCTTTTGCTAAAAGTTTGTCTGATGACAAAGAGCATACCATTTGTAACAATAAACCATAAATGATTATCCTTTCAGAATGATGACAAAATAAGTGTTCTATGAGATCATGCCATAGGTCGTTAACATAATGCAAATAATGTAAATGCTCGGAAAACAAGCTTATAGCCAGTAAAATGGACTGCAGGTGAATCATAGCTCAAAACACAATAAGACTACCAAAATATGGACTTTCTCGCTGACCAAACGCTGACTGCAAAGAAAAGATGAAAAGTACAAAAATAGTTCCGGAAATGGAATATTTTAGATATGGCTTCTGGCGTTGGTACTAATTGAAGTATAAAGCATGGTATGCAAGGGCAATAGACAACATATCGCAAGCAAATCATATATAAAAACAAAACCAGGACCCCAGAAAAATGTTTTTACGAGAATGAGAAAAGCTCCGATTACAGCTAGGCTAACAGAGATCAGGAAAAAAAATTAATTTATATTGTCCATCTTTTAGGAAGGGGCTAAGGAGGGTAGTAAAAGCCATACCAAAAGTTCAATACACTAACAGGGATCCAGAACCTAAATCCTGCAAGAGAATGAAGAACGAAATCAAGCTTCGTTGGGAAGAAGGAAATAAAGCAACCAGCAAAGGAATGTAATATGGAAATGCTTACCAAAAAGTAGAGTTGGAAGGGCATCTTTCTGATATTTGTTTGGAAGATCTGAAAGTTTCCCCAGCCATAAATTATTCCATGCAAAGATAACAGCTATTACAGCAGGACCTAGTACAATTTGGTTTAATACAACCTGAAACAAAGAGTATTAAAGGTACTGGTCAAATGGAGACAGGTCAAACTCATTACTTATAAAAGTTCTTTTTTAATTGGTAAGTCAAACTCATCATAAAAGAATTCTTCTCAGAAGCATAACTACCTTCATCAATATATTCTCCACCGTCTGCTTGGGCATACATCTGTCAAGATACGAGTACCATGCATAAGTACCAGGACCATATAACAAAAATCCATATGAAGCCATCCGGATGGATCGAAGCCAGTCATGCTCAGATAGGAGAGCACCAAGCGTATCCTAAAACAGCATTTTCGTCAAATACAAAATTAAAATTAGTGTGTAAATACCCCAAAATTTACCTCCTTAATTCAGTGAATAAGCAAAGGGAAGCCATCGTATGAGAGTGCATAAGACATGCAAAATCTATTTTTTATGTCATAAAGACATGCAAAATGTTTAGTTGTTAAGAAATGTTAGCAAATGTATTAATAAGCTACTGTCTCTAAAATGTATATATCAATTTAGTCTGCAACTAACATCAGCTCCTAAAGCTGGATAGTATATTCAGGAATAGAAAGGCCACTGATCACTGCTACTGCATAGTTCATTGAGAATATGAAATTTCCTGAGAGGGTTGATTGGCCAACAAATATTCACAGGACAGCATGTTTTATCAATTAATGGTATATATTATTCACAAGAGAAAGACATCATTCAACGCATAATTTTACAAACTACTAGAAAAAATATTAAGTTGATAACAAACATAAACATTTAAGCATAAAAAGCTATCCTGCAAAGAGCTAAAGTGAGAATAACTATGAAGTTGCCAATATGCAAATGGAGCTGGCGTATGGTATAGCAAGGAAGTGTCAGTTATGAAGTTGAAGGGTGCAGGGGTGGATGTAATGTTGACCTCTTTTCTTGACCTGTAGATGAGGTGCACTATGCACCATGCACGGGGAGAAGATTTCTCCATTTGCCTCTCATTTCGTAGGACCACAGGAGAGTATTTCCTTATTAAAACCCCCAGGGGAATAAGCTAACCTAATATCAGAGGGATATACAAACTCTGGCACCCCTGTCTCATGTGAAAAAAAGAAAAAAGAAACAAAAAGAAGCTGAATAGCAAGAAACCCCTTCCCTTTTTTCCCAATTGTTGGTGTAGTGTCAACAGCACGAATAAGAATTTCTTTTCTGCTTGGCTTTTCCTTTCTCTTAATGGAAGCCCATGATATTGTGGACCTTTCCACGGAGAGGTTAATATACCCTTACAGGTCAATAAAGATGGAACAAGTTAATCACTGGAAGACTGAAGACTGAAGAGACTATCCACGTGTTGTGTTTAAGAAGATAAAAACCCAATACAAATACATTGTTCTCAAGCCTGTTGTCCTGCTAAAGAGGATCAATAGCTACAACCTAATCGCAAATGTAAGTGTTGTTGCTGATAAAGGGGAAAGCAGAAGTGAAACATATATAGTACATATGACTGGTTACACCACAAATATTTTTCTTTAAAGAGACTGACCTTAGTAGAGTGCACGTAAACCCTTTATGGTAGAAACATATTTTTAGGCATGATGCTCCTCAAACCTGAATCCCTTTCTCCGCTCGAATAATTAACAAATACAACAATCAGATAAGTACGATATCTTCGCCTACGCCCTATCATGAGAAAATTCTTAGCAGCTAATATTTTAAAACCTTAAAAGAGACTTGTGATAGACAAGACGCTAATCTTTGAAAAGAGAGATTAAAACAGGTAAAGCACCAGCTGGAGGGAGGGCGAAGGTTGTCTCAGAAACAAATTTTTTTAAGCTCCTTGATTCGGCTACTGAAGGTAAAATTACATACCTTATCAAATTACTCCTTGTAGTGCATGAAGTAAGTCTATGGTTCAATTAGAGAGACAGAAAATGAGGATACAATACCAACTTAAAGACGAGACAACTACGATGAGAAGACATTAAACAAAATTAAGATAAGTACCAATATGGATCGAATCAAGAACCATAAGCACATATACGAGGGGCAAAAAAGGCAGGCCAAATGAGCCTATTAATTAGGGAAAAGTTATTCCGTTGGAAGCGCACAGAGTATATAAGCTGGACCGCGATATGTGGAAGTAGGCACATATTGGGAGATTGTTAATTCCTGCCTCCCACTTTGTTTCGTTGTTCTAAGTGACACTTCCTCTCTAAAGTATGAAATATCTGAAGGACAGCAACAAGCATCTATGTGGAATACAGAAACAGTCTGCAGACAGCAATGAAATTCTAATGACATCTGAGAAAATAAATCTCGTTACATGTCAAACCTCTTTTTCCATCAATTTTACATCATTTTCATTTTGAAGCCCACTAATTACCTCTTAGACCATAAATCTTGGTTTCAAACTAATACCCTCGAGTCTCGATATTGGTCGGGAATACATTTATTTTTTGTGATTATCTAAAAAGAGGGATTACGCCAAAAAAGAACTGGTTCATGTTTAACATAATCACTTTAGTGTGAATTGCTTCAAAAACATATTCTTTCGTTAAGAAATATCAATCAGTTTTTCAAACTTCTGTCAATGCATAAAGTTCACCCCATGCAAACTTCTCTTACCTTTTGTCAGTTTCTTCGTCCCTTCAGTCTGCCAAGATTCGATTTTGACACGTATTCCACCCCATTATAAGCAGAGTAGCTGAAACTTATTTTTTTTTTTGATAAGGTAAGTTTTTATTGAACGTAAAACAGTGTCAAGCTGATATTGTGAAATTACAAGCAGAGTAGCTGATACTTTGTTATATCAGCAATCAGAACTTCACTAATATGAGCACATCTGAGTTTCTAAAAACTATCTCTGTAACATAAAAATCATAAGCAATCAAACCAAAGTTATGAACTGACAAAAGAGACAATTCACAATATCACAACTACCAAAATGACCTTCATAAAATAACCAAAATTCCCAGAACCCATTACCCCCAAAATGGGTTCAAGAAACTCAAGTTGGGTCTCAAGAAACTAGACCAAAATTTCAATCCACAATTTAAATGTCGATGATTTTTTTGTTATACTAGAAAAATGACCTTAATTTTACCCAAAAAAAAAAAAGAATAGAAAACTGACCTTAGGATGAGGTGGATTAGGAAGGGTGTCTTTGTTCTTGAGCCAGCGGTCACGAAGCTGAGCTAAGGTGTCACCAGTAAGGGCAAGAGAGCTAGCAGTCATGGCTTGCTTCAGAGGGAAACGGTAACCGCTTCCACCATTTACATCGGCATGTGAGGATTTTGATGCATTACTACTGCTTTTACCTTCTTTTTCACCACTGCTTCTTCTTCTCCTTCGTTCAAAGTTCCATTCTTGAGAATGAAAAAATCCCATTCCCCATAGACTCCCATTTCCACCACTCAATGTCCCCATTCCTGTTTTTTTCCTTCTCTCAGAGAAATAGTGGCGCCGTATAGAGAGAGGAATTACAGTATGTTTCGCCAAACTTCTTGACAAATGAAGTGCGTAAAAAGCACATTTGGTAACTAATTTGGGAAGAAATTCAAAATTAACCTAATTTAAAATGTACAACAGACTAATTTTCAATTAGTCATTTTCAAATTTAAAATTTAGTCATTTTTTTGAGCGATATTAAAATCTGAACAAAAGTATCAAAAAATAATATCTGAAAAGATAGTAATATAATATGTTTTCAAAATTGGAATTTTTACAAGTTAAACTCCGGCATAATAGTTGTAATACAATGTGTCTTTGAAATTTGAACTCCAATACAATGTGCTAGAGTTTTGTATGCAAATTTTTCATAATCCAGCATACTATGCTAGATTTTGTTTGTTTGCTAAGGATATTTATTGAGATATTTATTAGTTCGTTTTACAGGTGTATTCTTTCATTATTTTTCTTCTTTCATTATTTTCTCTCTTCCGGTTCAGAGTAGTTAGGCGGTCCGGTTCAAGTCAGTTGAGTCGAGTTAGTTAGCGGACTACTTAGTGGTTTGAGTTTGTTATAGGTGAGTTGACAGCTGTACATGAGTGTGTATATATATGCGTACTACTCTCAATCAAATGCAGATTTTTGAGCCATTGTTCATTTTCATTTCTTCACATTGTTCTGGAAAGTTCCTTAACTGCCATGGGAGTCATGGCTGAACTCCGTCGCTGCACTTCGAGCTTCGATTTTCTCATGGTATCAGAGCGAGGTTGATCTCGCGGATAGATCTCGCCTCTACAATCGCTTCTTGTCTGTTTCTCTTTGTTTTTCAGTGCGTTTTTTTGTTACTTCATTAAATCTGATCTAGATTTTTCATTTGATCTGCTCGTTATCGAATTCTCTATTTGTTGAGAGTTGAAACTCTTTTAATTTGCTTTCTCTATCACCTTCTGATTGTTAATCATGGCTATAACTGATCAAGGCGATTCGACTGGTGCTGAGACTGCTGCAACTGTCACTCCGATGGTCACAGGACTAGATCCTAGTGATCCTTTGTATCTTCATCCATCTGACAACCCAGGAGCTATGTTAGTTTCGACTGTATTCGATGGTATAGGCTATAGGTCTTGGAGGAGAAGTGTGTTAAGAGGTTTGTCTGTGAAGAATAAACTGGGCTTTATAAGCGGGGAGTGTAAACAACCAGATGCTTCATCACCTCAATTTCGACAGTGGGAACGTTGTGACAATATGGTGACATCTTGGATTCTAAATTCACTTTCTAAGGAAATTGCAGATAGTGTAGAATATGCAAGCGATGCTGTTGAACTTTGGAAGGAATTGGAGGATAGATATGAGTAAACTAATGGAGCTAGGCTGTATCAAATTCAAAAGGAGATCAATGATCTCTCCCAAGGAAACCTGGACATTACTACATACTACACTAAATTGAAGAAGCTTTGGGAAGAACTTGCTACTTTGAGCAAAAGGAATCAGTGCAATTGCATATGTAACTGTGGAGCGAAGGAGAACATGTATAAGGCTGAACAAGATAGGAGATTAATACAGTTTCTCATGGGATTGAATGAAGTGTACACAGTGGTTCGAGGTAGTATACTTATGATGAATCCTTTGCCCAATCTAGCACAAGCCTTCTCAGCGTTAGTTCAGGATGGGAAACAAAGGGAGATTAGACCTAACAATCACCTAATTGTGGACTCAGCCTCATTGAATGTAGGAAGCTCAGGGCAGAACTCTTTTAGAACAAATTTTCGAGTTGACAACAATCGTGGGCTTTCTAGGGGAAGACTCATTTGTGAGTACTGTAAAAGACCAGGGCATAGCAAGGATAGGTGTTACAAGTTACATGGTTATCCACAGAATTTTTCTGCTCAGAACCCTGGCCCTAGACAATTCTCTAATAGCCGCAATTATGATCAAGGCCCTAGATACAACAACAATAAAGGTAAAAGAGTAGTGGAAAATGTGTAGGGAATAACTGATGAGATCACTACTGGGGAGGAGCTGAAAACAAGGCACAAGATGATGGTAAAAATGTGAGTCTTACTCAAGAGCAATATGGGCAGCTGATAAGTATGCTTCAACAATTTCATGAGAGGAATGGAGATGCAGGGAAAGCAACAGGAAGCCCTTACTCATCCAATGCTGCTAACTTTGCAGGTATGATAGTATGCACATCTTCTATTGATTTTGGTAAACTTGCTTGCAAATGCTTTGAGTCCAAGGCTGATACTTGGATACTGGATTCAGGAGCTTCCAACCACATGACCTTTGATAAATCCCTATTGTCCAATGTTCAATTCCTACCTTACCCTCTTCTAGTAATTCTACCCAATGGATATAAAGTTAAAGTGTCTGAGATTGGTGATGTTGTCCTCACATCTAAGATAGTATTACGAAAGTTCTCTTTATTCCCTCTTTCAAAGTCAATCTAGTTTCTGTTTATTGGTTAACCAAACACCTCAGAGGAATGGCATCTTTCACTGACAATGCTTGTCTTCTGCAGGCCCCTTCAGTGAAGAGGCCTCTGGAGATTGGTAAAGTGAGGAATGGCTCGTACCTGCTCTGCTCCAAATGCCTAAGGAACAATAATACTTCTGTGACCTTCAATCATTCATGTGATGTAAACAGTCCTCTCTTGAATAATACTCAAAGTCATATGTCCACATCTGTAAATGAGTCACTTCTGAAGCAAATGAAAAACAATCCTACTTCTTTTACTTCTTCTTCTTTAAATGATAGCTTGTCCAAATCTGCATTTTGTTTTTCCAATGGTGTAGACATACTGTGGCATAACAGACTTGGTCATGTGCCATTTGTAAAAATGAAACATATTTCTAACATTCCTGCTGTTTTTCCCAAAAACAACCATTTATGTGCACAATTTGTCCTATGGCCAGACAAACAAGACTTCCCTTTCCACAAAAGGCTAGTACCTCCACCAAAAACTTTGAATTGATCCATGTGGACCTATGGGGACCCTATCATGAATATACTCATGACAAATGCAGATATTTTATCACTATAGTAGATGACTTTAGTAGAACTACTTGGACTCAACTTCTAGCCTGCAAAAGTAATGCACTGCAGACAATAAAAACCTTCATCTCACTTGTGGAAAATCAATATAAAACCAAGATCCAGTCCATTAGATCAGATAATGGATTAGAATTCAATAACCAAGAGACCAGTGCTTTCTTCCAGTCCAAGGGTATTATCCACCAAAGAACTTGTCCTTACACACCACAACAGAATGGAGTGGTGGAAAGGAAACATAGGTACCTTCTTGAAACAGCTAGAGCTTTGCTTTTTCAGTCCAAATTACCTTTGAAATATTGGGGGGAATGTATCTTGACAGCAACTCATATTATAAACAGACTGCCCACTACTTATCTTCATAACAAATCCCCCTTTGAAGTGCTGTATGGGAAACTACCAGACTACACACAGCTGAGAAGTTTTGGTTGTTTGTGTTTTCCCACAACCCCCAAAGTACACCTAAATAAGTTTGAGCCAAGGTCTGTTCCACATGTTTTTCTAGGATACCCCTTTGGTGTCAAGGGCTACAAAGTCCTGAACCTGTCAACTAGAAAAATACATATAACCAGAGATCTTGTCTTTCATGAGTCTATCTTCCCCTTTGACATCTATTATAAATCCAAATCTGAGTCACTTCCCACAGTATTTGATATCACTTCATCTGATGAACCTGTTGGCCACAATGATGTTGCAGAAGTGGAAACCAATGACCCCTTCTGTGACAACACAGGCATGGATTCACCTAGTTCAAATGATCCAGTCACTGCTCCATCCTCCACACCATCTACACCTTCTACTTCCCCAGCTCCATCTCACTTTCCTAATAACTCTACACCATCTCCATCACACCTGCCTCCATCCTTTGACTCTTCACCAGTACATCATCCTTCCACATCTTTTAGAAGGTCACAAAGGGAACACAAAATGCCTGTTTACCTAAAGAATTATGTCCACAAGGCCACCAAACCTACTGAAAGCTCTTTTTCTCTCAACTCCTTATTTTCTAAGTGTCATCACATAGCCCATGAATCAATGAATCCTAGTCGTCAGACATTGGTCAATAGTGTTTGTAATGTTAGTGAGCCATCTTCTTTTGAGGAGGTTGCTGTCAGCCCTGCTTGGCAGGCAGCCATGATCCAAGAATTTGAAGCCCTTTATGCTAATAATACTTGGGACCTGGTCCCTTTACCATCTGACAAAAAGGCAATAGGCTGCAGGTGGGTATACAAAGTAAAGCATAGGTGTGATGGCACAATAGAAAGGTATAAAGCCAGACTTGTTGTGAAAGGCTATACCCAACAGGAGGGTGTGGATTTCACAAAAACTTTTTCTCCAGTGGTTAAGATGACCACAGTGAGAACCTTGATTGCAGTAGCAGTGAAACATAGTTGGGCAATGTTCCAGTTGGATGTCAATAATGCCTTCCTTCATGGGGATTTGCATGAGGATGTCTATATGCAGTTGCCACCTGGGCTAATGGTAGAGGATAGTCTTGGTTTGCAAGCTGAATAATCCTTGTATGGACTTAACAAG